AAGGAGCTGAACAGCTCGCTGATGCCTTACGAACTAACAGGGTGACCTTGATTCTCTCTTCATCTAACTCATTTAACCATCGAGACTTTTTCACACAGACACTCACGACACTCAAGCTCGGCGACTATCTCAGGGGCAATCACATAGGAGATGAAGGAGTGCAACATCTCGCTGATGCCTTGCGAACTAACACTGTGACACTTATTCTCTCCTCATCTATCATATTTTATCCATCTCTACCTTTTTACACAGACATTCACCACACTACATCTCGAATATAATGAAATCGGAGACAAAGGAGCACAGCATCTCGCCGATTCCTTACAAAATAACACGGTGACCCACACTCTCGCTTCATCAGTCTTATTTATCCATCGGTATTTTTTATACAGACACTCACCACACTATATCTCTACTGCAATCGAATCGGGGACAAAGGAGCACAACATCTTGCTGATGCTTTACGAACCAACAGGGTGACTCTCATTCTTTCTTCATCTCTCACATTTAACTATCTGTACTTTGTCATATAGACACTCGTCAGACTACATTTCTCTGGGAATCCAATTGGAGACAAAGGAGCTAAATGTTTCAGTGATACATTGCAAATTAACACAGTAAGCATCATTCTCTCATCATGCGTTTCATCCAACCATGGGCACTTCTTCACACAGACACTCGCTACACTACATCTCGAATACAATCACATTCGAGGCGAAGGAGCACAATACCTTGCTGATGGTCTACGAAATAACACGGTGGCCTGCATTCTCTTTTCATCTGCCTCATTTACCCGTCGGTATTGTTTCATATAGACACTCACCATACTCAAGCTCGGTGGCTTTCTCATAGGCAGCCAAATCAGAGACGAAGGAGCCAAATATCTCGCAGATGCATTACGAAATAACACGGTGATCCTCATTCTCTCTTCATCGCCCTCATTTATTCATCTCCTCTTTTTCATATAGGCGTTCATCGCACTACATCTTGCATTCAATGAAGTAGGAGAAAAAGGAGCTCTATATCTCGCAGATGCATTACGACATAATACAGTGACCTTCATTCTCTCTTCATCTATTTCATTCACTCATCAGTACTCTTTCACACAGACGCTCACCACACTCGATCTCTCTGGGAATAAAATCGGAGACAAGGGAGCTGAACGTTTCGCTAATACTTTACGAAATAACACGGTGATCCTCGTTCTCTCTTCACCTACCTCATTTACTCATCTCCACTTCTTCACACAGACACTCATCACACTCAAACTTGGCGATCATTGCATAAGCAGTCAAATCGGAAACAAAGGAGCACAACATCTCGCTGATGCTTTGCAAACAAACACAGTGACTCTTATTCTTCCTTCATCTCTCTCGTTTACTTTTCCGCACTTTTCACACAGACACTCACTGCACTATATCTCTCTGGGAATCACATCGGAGACAAGGGAATGGAATATCTCGCTGATGCACTACGAAATAACACAGTGACCCTTATCTTCTCGGTATTTCTTTCATTGGTCCATCTTTATCTCTTCATACAGACACTCACGACACTAGATCTTCAATACAGTGGAATGAAAGACAAAGGAGCTCAAAATTTCGCAGATGCTTTGCATAGTAACACGGTAACCCTCATTTTCTCTTCATCAATCTCCTTTACTCATCTGCACTTCTTCATACAGACCATCACGACACTAGATATTCAAAACAATCAAATTGGAGAGAATCTTGAAGCTTGCATGAAACAATTGATTGAACGGAATCAACGACTGAGCAAATCATGATCATTGGTTTTGAGGATAGTTCCATGAAGAATTGAAACTGTATTTGTATGTGTGATTTGCTTTTTTCCGTGATTTTTTAATTTGCAAGTCGTTAGACTTTTTTCCTTTTTATTATTATTTATTCTTCTTCCAACAAAAGAAAACATCCAATTGAGAAAAAGACAGAAAAAAATATGTTTCTCTCTTTTTCTTCTTCCATGCTTTACCTTCTCTTTATCGATCGAATAATATGTCGTATGATGGAAAGGAATAATGCCACTAAAATAATACGATAGAAGTAGAGAGGAGCCTTCATATTGGTGTGAGTGTGCGTGTAAAAATAAGATGTACACCCAAAGCCACACCCACATCCACATCCGAAGTTATTTACAATTTTCGTCCGTGGATGAACTGATCTCATTAATTCGCTGAAATAAAAGCACCTAAGTCTTTTTTATTAGTTGAGGTGTCAATGGAGAGAAGTCTCGGATCAAGACACTCGCGGCCCTATCGAAATCCAAATTTAATTTTATAGAGAATTCACAATTAATTGAGAAAAAAACAGCTTCAGAACATATGTTACTATTAAAGATTTTTGCACTACCATCTATAATAAATAATTTATGACATAACTAAAGTCAACTTTGACTTCGTCCCTAGTGACAGGTCACTCAGTTGCATCAACATTTTTCGGAAGACATCGCAATTGACTTGATTCTGTCAGTTTTACTAGACTCAAAAAATATTCACCCATTATGATACACTATACCATTATGCACCATATTCAAAAAAATGGGGGTAAACTATCGATATAGCGCGGATTATACAGATCGGTATACCGATGGCTTTTGCCCAGTTCGAATCATATGGGAGATGATAATTTGAATGAAATGTGTGCAAACTTCAAAAAGTGTGAAAATTCAGACTAAATCGGGACATCTTGAGGGTGTCGGTATAAGTTTTTTAGAGCGGATTGAAGACAACAGCGGCATAAACACTAATCCTCAGAACGATTGTTATTTACATCCAGCTATCTCTCACTAACATTGTTTCGTCATCATCCCGCAGCGCTATATGTATATTCATGTTCTCTCTCTTGCGTTCTTAGAGGCTTGCTTCTTCCACCTTTTACTTTGTTTTAATCTGTTACTATGTATTCTCTTTCTTTTTCTTTCGATTTTTTTCTCGTATAAATGAAACTATCGATTCTAAACGAAAAGCTACTTGTACTTATGGACCTATATCAACGTGGTTAATTTAATGACATATGAAAAATAAATGAGTTTAATGAAATGATTTCGATTACTAGAGATGCTGGAGAGACTCCACTTTCGCTGTCCTAACACAATCCGGAAATGTCATGAAAATGGTTTCAATGATTTCGATGTCCTTGAACTAATCACAGAAATCTCATGAAAATTTTATGAAACAAAGCAAAAGATCGGAATGAATTCGATTCAGATGAGCTAACCAAAAACATCGAATGAAAATGATGCAAAAGAACTACAAGTAACTGAAGAAATACGATTATAAATTTGACATTCACCCTAATAACATCATGTCTAAATCGATCAATTACAAAACGGCATTTATCGATTTTAAATTGGCTAAAAAAGCGGTCACGGATGCATTGAACGAGCATAACGATTTTTGTTACTAGAACATTCTCTTCTCACGTGACTACAATCTGACATGCAGAGAGATGGTATGATTTGACATTAAAATGTTTATCTTTATGACTGCTCTTGAAATTCTTCAAATTGTATAGTGTGCATTCGATTTCGCCAAATTATAGGACTCGGTGAAACTGGTAGGAATGTAAAAGAATTCGTGTTCACCTCTAATCTATCTAGAGTTATGGTCGTTTTACTGGACTTTCGTCTTTTGTGCATAATATTTATCAAACAATCATCTTAAGAGTGAGTTTCTGAAAGACTTAGACATCGACGATGATATCTCGAAAAGAAAAGATTCGTTTGGGCTCACATTTTCAGAACATTCTTAAAGTCTTGCTATCTGTCGATGGGGTATGTTTCAGACCAATAATTCATAAAATGAAGTATGAATCCTTTTAGTTTTCTTCTAGTCGCATCGGTGTCTTTTGACTATTTATTGCTTCAATCGAATTATTGCAGCTCATGAGAAAGACCCATAAACAAAATAGTCGATTATGCTATGAGCCAGATTCATACGATTTACTGCTACTCTTGTCGTTCATATTTTATTGCTTGTTCACCATTATCAACGTAAGCTTCGACGGAATCAGTATTGTATAGCAGTTTCTTTTCTATGCTCTTTCTAATGTGTCTATTATCAACTTCAAAATGACTGTCTTAGTGGTATTTTATGTAAAAATAGAGAGGATGTTTTATAAATTCTAGGTAAAGAGCAACATATAATCATCTAGGAGACGATTATATACACGACCAATAAAAGCAAATACATGATGTGAGTAAAAGAAATCAGTTGTGTCTCTTTTCGATAGAAAGGTAGAGTGAATGATAGTATTTGATTCTGTTTTTGTTTCTTTCATGTACTTCATGCTTTATTTTTGCGCATTTTTTAGTTCTTCTTCATCATTATGTACAGCTTGATTACATTATTTCGAACAGTTTTGAGTAGTCAACTGTATCGCTGAGAAACTTGAAGTGTTTTATTTTTACAGAACTTGGTAGAATATTTGTGTTTCGATCGAGCGGCATAGTTTTCATCTTGGCCAAGGGTTTTTGGTAAAATTCTAACAACCTTTTCAAGAAAGCTGTTACACAGAAACATTTAATTGAAACGAAATCCAATTGTTGCGCATGTTGTTTCACATTCAAAAAGATCCGTTAATGTCCTAGCTGTACAAAATACTGAATAAAATCGCACCGCATCTGAGGAGAAAGTTTAATTTAAATTTTAAGCCACCAAGAACTTTTATTATAGAAATGAAACATAGGTTTTAGCACTATTTACATAATGCACAATCTATGCAAAAGCTCTCAGTCAAGGCAGACTCAAATTGTATAGTTCGATCGAAAAATTATCATTCTATTCAGCCAGACAAAAATAGAACCTAAATTCATCATAAATACAGCAAAGTAAAGAAGATTTTCAGAAACGTATCGGGACTGCTCATTCTTCACTTACAACGAAGAATGAAACAACAGCTTGGGAAGGTTGATTATTTAATCATCTAAATATTTGTCTCTATTGCGTATCATTTTTTTAGATCAATATTACCACTCGGCTCATGACCACCTTTGACAATGAGAAAGCTACTGAACAAGCTTCGATAGCAAATAATGATGCTAGTTATCGTCTGGATGCTCACTATGCACCACATCCAGATTATGAAGGTGCTCATCGCTACGATACATCGGCTACGTGGACTGTCAAGGAGGAAGCAAGTCTTGTTCGTCGCATTGATTTTCGTATCACTGTATGGGCATGTGTGCTCATCTGTGCAATGCAACTCGATCGTGGTAACATTTCTCAGGCCAATTCAGATAATTTTCTAGGCGATATCAATATAACGACAAATGAATTCAACTATGGTCAATCGATATACATTGGCTGTTTTGTCTTGGCTGAATTGCCCTCGCAACTGATTAGTAGACGTGTTGGACCAGATCGATGGGTTCCTATGTTAGTTATGGGATGGTCTCTGGTAGCCATGTGCCAGAGTCTCGTTCATGATAAAATCTCTTTTTACATAACACGTAGTTTTATGGGCCTTCTCGAAGGTGGTTTTGTTCCAATAGCGGTTTTATACTTATCCTATTGGTATAAGACTTCCGAATTACCAACACGTCTGTCCTTCTTTTGGGTGGGCAATTATGCCACAAATATTGTCTCGTCATTTCTCGCCTTAGGCATTTTAAAACTACGTGGTCATCGAGGTTGGCCTGGATGGAAGTATTTATTTTTGATTGAAGGTACATTGACATTCTGTGTTGGTGTTTTTACCTGGTTCTATTTGCCGGCATCACCAACGCAGACGCGAAATCGATTTAGAAAGAATGGTTGGTTTACAGAGAAGGAGGAAATCATTTTAGTCACAAGAGTTTTACGAGATGATCCATCCAAGGGTGATATGAGTCATCAAAAAATGATAAGTCCGCGAGAACTTCTTCGATCTCTGTACGACTATGATATTTGGCCCTTGTATATTCTCAATCTCATGCAATACATTCCAATGACTCCTCAATATACTTATTTAACGTTGAACTTACGTGCTCTCGGCTTTTCCACATTCGAAACGAACCTATTAACCATGCCGGTCTATGTGATGATTATTGTACAACTTTTGCTTACAACACGCATAGCTAAATGGATCAAAGGACAGCGCACATTCATTTCTATGTCAGCACAATTCTGGTCTCTTCCATTTCTCATCACAATGATCACTTTACCCGACAGTACAAATCATTGGGTTAAATATGGTATCACTGTTGGTCTTCTTTCCTATCCCTATCCACAAGCCATATTTGCTGCATGGACATCAGAAAACTCGAATTCCGTACGAACACGAGCAGTTTCAATAGCGATAAATAATATCATGGTGAATTTGGGATCGATTGCTGGCTCGAATATCTATCGAAAGGACGATGCACCCAATTATCGTCGTGGAAATTTAGTGTGTCTCGTGATTTTGAGCATTAACATTGTCCTATTTCTTGTAACAAAAATTTATTTTATACTACGCAATCAATATCATCGAAGACGGTGGAATGCGATGACAGTACAAGAACAGGATGCATATTTGGCAGCCAATAAACACTTGGGCAATAAGCGATTTGACTTTCAATTCGCTCATTGAACTTTACGTTTCCTCTCAGTTGGAAAAGTTTCTGATTCTATCAAATAAATCTAAGACATTTTCTTGTAAACATAATTTTTTTCACTGATTTGCACTGACAAATTGTTTATATCGATATAGCATAAGCAATCATTTATCTTCGAATAAATAAACATCGGAATGCATTGTATACTTCTTGTCAATCGCTGCATTGGACAACTAGAATCATAATGTGCCAGTTAAAAAATCATCACAAATTAAATTCTCAGGTGTGAGTGTATGAGTCTATGCACTAAACACTCACATCTTCACCTATATTTTTCTTTTTTGGAATCCTTGTTGTTCAATTGATCGAGTAGGGTCACGGTACCAGTTTTACAGAGGTGCTAGTCTGTAACGAAGATTTATTACAATATAAAGGTTTTTTCAAGGCATCAGAAAAAACACAAAGGCAGAAGATAAAAAGATGAGGAAAAGATAGTAGATATTGTTGTCCTACTTCGAGTAGACTGTAATAATGAAGATGATGTCAAACTTTTTTTTCAAGATGCACTTAAGTTTAGAACAGGAGGAAAGGCTAAGAATTTATTGAAATTCTCATCAAGTGAATAATGCATGCTAGACAACGAAGACACATATATATACACACAACAGCGATGAATATTGTTAAAGTGCTCTTACAGTTTCAAAGGAACATGAAGGCTTTGATTGCTACTAGAAAACAGCTGAAATCAAAAGAATAGGTGGAAATCATAAAATGGCATTGTTTTTCTCGTCAGAATCTTGATAACAAGTTCGAAGTTGACACCAAAGCGAATGTCTATAAAGAATTTTCAGTACTAGGTAGCTAGAAGATCTGTTTTAAACTGACAGGCCTATATATGAAGTCAAACTAAACCTGCTTCCAGTTAAATTCAAAAAACTTTCTTCAACTGTCACCAAAAGGCCTGATACGATTCCGCCAACAGAATCGAAAGATACGAATTACTCGAGGAACAACTATTTGACAAACTTTAGAAAGACCTCCGAAAATTCCAATAATTTGAGTCATAACCACAATCCAACGATGGTTACCAACGTATGAATAACTGCACATCGAAGGCTTACAATGAGCATAGTAAGCCTCATGTGAACTAGTATTTGTCCACTCTTCTACCATAAGTCGTGCAACAATGTCACCAATTGTTGAATTCGGTTCATATCGACTTTTTACATTTGAATCGAGAGGCGTTGCATTCAGAGCATTTTGAGGATCAATCCATCGTCGAAGGCTATTCAAGCATGATGGACTATACAAACACACTAGAGTAGACTGAAGAACTGTCTCAACGATAAAACAGCCCTGAAGTTGCCCGGGAATCGTGAATTGGGTAACCGGTGAGCTCTCAACGTATAAATTGTAAATATTAGTTATGCCAACGCATGTCGGATTAACATGACAATAGCAAAGGCTAGTTGAGCCGTCGAGGTTTGTGCTGTAAACATTGTAAATTGGCAAGATATGAATGCTTCGATCTTGGTGAACGTAAGAACTGTATGCAAGAGTTGTTAACATGCTCGAGAAAAGACTATTCGCTTGAGTAGTCTCGCGCAAAACCTTAATGGAGCGCAGAAAAGTCCTTGTTATGGACTCAATAAAATCATTAATAGCTGATTCTAGTTCTTTCTGAAAAACATTAACGGCTATTACTTCACTTGTAACAAAGTGCTGAGTATGAAAGAAGAAAAGTTCACCGTCAATGGTAGCTTGAGTTTCTGTGCAGAACGAAGCCAATGTTAAATAGTATTGAGAAGCAGTCAAACGAAAGTCTCCAGTAAATAAGTTCAGTTCCTTGATAAGCTCACTAATATGAAGCGACCAGGATGATGTAACATACAAGCTCTGACACACTTGATGATAGCGTGCCACTTTCAAATTTAAGAATTGATCGTAGCGGTTAGAGATAGTTGTACAAGGACAAGATAAAGATTGAGGATATCGTTGCCACATGTCAATGTATTGCTCGTAAGTGGGCGCATCTACAGTGTTGGTGATGGGAACAGGTACTGCCTTCATGAAGATGGTTATTATAGTGAGCGAAACAACAAGTATCAAAATATAAAAACGTGTTGCAATAATCTGTGTACGAATCTCGAAATCATCGTTAGCAGTTGCCATCGATTGTGAAGAGAATAAATTGAGTTTGATTATGAATCCTTTTGCTTTGGCATAAATCTGCCAAAGCTTTTGACCTAGAGTTAGCGCTGAAAAAAACAAATAATAACGAGCTACGTTTTCATTAATAAAAACTCTTGTATTCAATGTTGACTGTTCGTTCCGTAGGCATCGGACCAAAAGTCTTTTTTGCTGAGAAGAAAGAATTAATAATTGACTCAGGAAAAATTTGGACTCTTCCAGAATGATTGTGCAAATTGTCAACCGTGTTTTGCGTACTAGCTCACGAAACACATTGCCTCATGCATGCATGCATTGCTCAAATACCCTGCTGTGGACTCAATTGTATTACTCAGTTATTAGGACTTTTATGTGAGCAAAGAACTCGGTTAAAGCCGAGAACTAATAATCGCTATCCCATATGAACTATTCCTTCCGTACTCGTGAAGGACTTTTGTAACTATTCATCGTATAGCGTGCATCTATCTAGTACGTATACAGAAAATAAGTTCAGGAAGAAAGTCAATAGGTCAACAAATAGTCATTTCAATGAATACTAAATAGATTAATAAGAATTCTAACGTCATACCGTCTGGAGAAACAACTGGTCGTGTTATAGGCTTGAACCATTGCCAACAAGTATAAATGACTCGAGGAGTCAGGAACTTAAGAATAGTAGTTAAACCACCAACCAAGCCAATGATAGTTGTGATAACAAAAATGAGATCATTCCTACCGACGTATGAGTAAGTGCATATTAATGGTCGGCATTGCCCATAGAAAGCTGCATAAGAAGATATATTGAACCAATCTTCGATCATCATGTGATTCACAAGAGTACTGATCGGTGTAGTTGCACTGAATCGACTCTGATGGCTAGTAATGTTCAGTGCAGATATATTTAAAGAATTTTTCTTGCCAGTAACATTTTTGAAATTGACGTCATACATATATTTTTGCTGAGCGTATAAATTTAAGGTATCAACACAGCTTTGATTATAATAACATTCAAGGGTTGACTTAAGTGTGGCTTCGTCCATGTAGCAACCAATGAGGAGTCCTGGGACAGTAAAAAGTATGATTGGTGGAAATACTCGATTATCAACAAATGTTATCGAGTCAGTACAATCGGGTGTTTCGGCACAGTAGCATGTTCCATTTTTGTACACCCGAGAGATACTTCCCGTATATAGATCAGGAGATATTTCCAGTAGCATAAGATGATAGTTCGTCAAGATACCACTTTGAAGTACATTATTATGCGTTATCTTTCGCATAAGGGTCAGCAAACGAACGTAGCTACTAATCGTTGATGCGATAAAAGCTTCTAAAGCTGACTGAATTGTTTTCTTGAAAACATCGAATGAAAGCATTTCTTTAGTAATAAGTGTAGAATCATAGAATGCACTACGATCAACAATGACACTTTCATTGGCTAGGCGACACCATGACGCGATCAGTTTCAAATGAAAACTACCAGTAAGTATAGTCTGAAAGCTATAGTTTGCTACGTTTGGTTGAAAATAGTTGAGGTAAGAATCTGAAATAAAATCACTTTCACACATTTGATGAAAGCGAGCTTCGACTTGCATGAATTGATCGTACTTAATAGCAACGGTTGCGCAAGGACAAGAGAGAGATTGTGGATATTGTTGATATAGGTGTAAATATTTTTCGTAAGAAGGTGAATTGATAGTTGCAGATCTTTTCACAGACACTTCCGATATGAGAATCACAAGAACACCAAGTGATATAATCAATAGAGAAAAGAAGACACGTGTCGATATTATTTGTATTTTAGTCTGATAAATTGTGTTCGTATTTTCCAATAAAAAGGAAGTGAACATGTTCATTCGTCGTATAAAAGTTTTTAGCTTAAACCAGTGATTTTGAATGGATAATAGTTCAGAGTGATCTAAGAATAAGATGAAAATAACATATGTGTACATGGTTCATTAAATGCCGAATTGTTAACAAAATTGCAGTTATCATTTTAGGACACTCGTTACTTGTTGAGTGTGGATAACAGTACTGATGAATAGAATACAAACTTCGTGAGTCTTACTCACAAATATATTCACAGTTCCATTCTTGCGTAGCCCAAATGGTTAGTTCTTCCTATGATTTCATATTATGGACACGCGAACGTTACACAGATATTTTTTGACACTATGACAACTCTTGACGAATATTCAAGTAAATGCGCTTATTTAGACATCATCCACAACAAAAACAAAATGGCTAAAGATTTAAGTTTCGTCCTGTATGTTTCACTGCATTTCACAATTGAAGCTAGTACAGCATAGATTGGAAATTTTTTCATTAGTTTTTACTACTTGTAAGAGTACAAGACATGAAGGTTCAATACTGGTTATCATAAAGCTCATCCATAACATTTTATAAAATGTAAAACACTTTTTCGGGCTACAGAATTTCTGAATGGCAGTCATGATAATTCACTTCAATTTGAGAATATGTGAGCGAAGATGTGAGTCAGGATGTAGACATATATGACAAGAAAATTCATATTTACATCCTCGGAGAGCGAAATATAACGTTACCTATAGAAGAAGTAATTCATATTTTAGCACGATGCCAAAAGTTCAAACGACCGTGTTTGGTACAAGACTTCGATACGTGTCATAAAATCAATATGTGCCTAGAAATTCTCTGATGATTGGACTCATGCAACATCAAGGAACATCTGCATCGAACACTCACAAGCTAATGTCACTACATTATGAAAGCCCATAAAAAAATGATTGGAATATCTCAATACTGAATCAACCGCATACAGCTAGTCGGTTATTGAAGGCTGTAGATACGTATGGATCCGGATGGGAGTGAAGATGCTGGTATTGTTTTA